AAAGGCGGGCCTACATTGTTCCGCACTTTGCAAATTCTGTGCTGGCCAAGAATGCAATAACAGGAATGAAGTCATCGTCGACAATGAAGACGATGCCGATCTAGTAACTACTTCACAATTCGATGAAAATGAAGACACAGACATGAATAACTCACCCCCTACGAAACGAGCGAAGCGCATATGAATGTTTCCTTCACAGTTCTCATTTCAATCACTACCGAATTAGTATGATTATAGCTGTCTCTCATTCTTACTTTGTTTGAATTAATGAATCTTTGGAAAATTTATTTTGAAATTGAACATCCCCTCCCATCAGGTAGGTAATCAATTGAAATAGTACCTGCATCTCAAGCATCGCGCTGTGTCATGTAAAAATTCAAAGTAGGATTAGTATAAATTCCAAATTCAAGCTGAAACTGAAAAATCGTTAGGAATATGCCGTTGTTTCAACTTTCATTTTCACCCCACATTCCGTAGGGTTGCTGAAAAAAATTATACAGAGTGGGCCTTTGAAAACGAAACAGAGGCTCTGTAGGTCGCCAAAACCGGATTATCAAAAAAAAACTGAAACAGGTCAACTACATTCTCGAGGGGGACATCTTTCTAAAATATTTTCAGCCCTGCGGCGTTGCCGCTTCTAACGAAAAGAAGCAACAACTTTGTTATTTCAAATGAAACACCTTGTATTTTATTGCATTTTTAGGTTCTCCCCGAAGAGCTGATTTCATCAATGCATCACACTTGGGGTCTAGCTGTAATGGTTTCAGGGATATGAAGTGTTCAAAATCGAGATTTTTCAACTTTAACATTTTTTTGTGTCGAAACTATTCATTATTGGTCAAAACGGCTCTCATGTCCCGATCTCAACTTGTGATTTACTATCTACTGACATTTATTTGAAACAAATACAGGGTGGTTCAAGATTCAGAATTCTGATCACCCTGTATCTGTTCCAATTAAATGTCAGTAGATAGTAAATCACAAGTTGAGATAGGGACATGAGAGCCGTTTTGACCAATAATGAATAGTTTCGACACAAAAAAATGTCAAAGTTGAAAAATCTCGATTTTGAACACTTTATATCCCTGAAACCATTACAGCTAGACCCTAAGTGTGATGCATTGATGAAATCAGCTCTTCGGGGAGAATCTAAAAATGCAATAAAATACAAGGTGTTCCATTTGAAATAACAAAGTTGTTGCTTCTTTTCTTTAGAAGCGGCAACGCCGCAGGGCTGAAAATATTTTAGAAAGATGTCCCCCTCGAAAAAGTAGTTGACCTGTTTCAGTTTTTTCTGATAATCTGGTTTTGGCGACCTACAGAGCCTCTGTTTCGTTTTCAAAGGCCCACTCTGTACATGCATTCCTGTAGGTAATTTAATTCCTTACAAATCTTCCGATACTTGTTTCCCCAGAACAGGCCATAAGTGAACTACAGCGTTCTAAAGTGAGAAGTTAGACAAATTTCTGAAAATGCGATTTTTCAATTTTTTTCAGAAAGTGCGTATCTCCGTTACTATCAGTCCTAGGATCAAATTTCAAAACGTGAAATATAGGAAATTTATTCCCCGACAAAACTTAATGGGACCCTTTTGTAGCTAAAGTGTACCATAACGATAATATAAGCAAAAATCTGGGGAAAGTTCCGTTTTTTTTCGTTTTTTTCAATATGGCAGTGGGCACGGAGGAGGAGAAGTTTTGCATTTTGCTTCTTAAACACTCCATTACCATTCTAGATAACATATCAGAATTTCAGAACTTCCGGACCGTTTGTAAGGTGAACCTCCTCTATTCACTGGATTAACTAGTCTATTATCAAATTGAATGGCGTCCAAAACTCGAATATCAACCTCGAATCCATATCAACTATCCTCTGGCAAAAAGCAGCCGTTCGCACAAGGGTGACTTATTCTTTCTTAATTCTATATGATTGAAAGCCCATTGAAGCTGGTGTTCCTCAGGGTGCAGTTTTATCTCCGCTGTTGTACAGTTTATATACTAGCGATTTGCCAAGACCAGTGATGTGCAAGATGTCGCTTTTTGCTGATGATACGGCAGTTCTTGCATATTCGACAAATTTCAAGCAAGCAGCTATGAACCTCCAAAGCGCACTGAATTCTCTTCAGGAGTACTGCCTGAGATGGAAGATCAAATTGAATCCTACAAAAACACAATTGGTCGCACTCGGAAGGGAGCGGAGGCCTCCCAGAACCAGAATAGTCCTGGATGGTCATGAGTTAGAGTGGTCTTCACAAGTTGAATACTTAGGTGTGTGCATTTACAAAAAGCTCACCTGGGCCCAGCACATTGAACAGCAAGTTTCTAAAGCTAAACGAGCCATTGGAGCCCTGTATCCATTTCTAAACAGACGAAGTAAATTGGGTTTGAGACAAAAATTGAATATTTATATCATGGCTAACAGGCCAATTTTAATGTATGCCTCAGTAGTCTGGGGCCACACAGGTAAATCTCATATCACCAGATTACAAACATTACAAAACAAAATCGCGAGAATGGTCACAGGATCTCCTTGGTATGTTCGGAATAACCAGATCGCCAGGGATCTGAAACTCCCTTCAATCGTGTCAGTCATTAAAGAACGAAACATCAAGACTTTCGAAAAAGCTGAGGTTCATGAGAATCAGCTTCTTCGAAATGCAGTTGATTATGACCCAGGTGATCAATCATAGTTCAAAAGACCAAGATTGTCCATAAACTAGAGAAAATATCGACATTATGACCAAATTTACTATTCTCAAGTTTTTGATATTAATTTTTTCCGTTCGATCTCTTTCAATTCTTAGAATGTATGTCTTATTTGGGGCAGAAGGGCTGTTCGCATCAAACTTCAATACCGTTTTAATTTTGTTCCATTATAGATATCAGGATAAGAGGGACTCTTCCCTGGTCTGAATAAAATAAAAGAAAGATCCAATATACAGGGTGTTCATTTCAGGACTTCCCACCCTAATTTTCTCGAAATGTGTGTATTTTTTCAAAAAATCCTGAGACACGTCAACAAATATATCGAAGGGGACAAGTTTTCATCAGAAAATAAACGCGCCCCCTTTCATCCCCTGCAAGGGGGAGCTACCTACTGCGAAATCTTAAATGCGAAGGGGTATCGAGTCATACCTCATTTTTAAGGTATTTGTAATCTCTACACGTCAGTGTTTTGTTTTTCAAAATTGATCGATCCGTTGTTGAGATATTTAGGAAAATCAGTTTTCTGATGCGTATACCATTGAAATAAAAACTGCAACTGTTTATTCTCATTCCCTTTACTTCAAACCTAAATATCAATATTTCACCCTACTGTCACTTCAGTAATTGCTCAAAATGTATAACCGCTGTTCAAATGCGTGGCGCACATTTTCAAACATTTCTGGTCGAAGTACTTGACATTCTGCGGTGATCCTTTGTCGAAGCTCTTGTAAATTTTGCAGCGGACGTGTGTAAACAGCTGATTTTAAATGTCCCCAAAGGAAGAAATCACATGGGGCTAAATCCGGGGATCTGGCTGGCCACTCTATAGGTCCTCGTCGCCCTATCCATCTACCGGGAAACACGTTATCTTACCATTGACGGACCGGAAGCACATAATTGTTGAAAATGTAACTGGTTTTCATCAAGAAAGGTGTTTCCATCTCTATCCAGTTGATTTTCGAGTGCTTCAGTAATTAGCGGATTGATCGTATTTTCTAGCATATTCAAATACACCTCACCATTTAGATTTCCATCGATAAACAATGGACCAATTACTTGATTTCCTAGTATACCGGCCCATACATTCAGTTTTTGGGGATATTGGGTATGCCCTTCGACAAACACATGGTCATTTTCATTGTTCCAATATCTGCAATTATGTTTATTGACAAATCCATTCAAATAAAAAGAACACTCATCAGAGAAGCAGACATTTTTTAAAAATGCGTTATTGTTATTAATAATTGTTGTCATCTGCTCACAAAACTCAATTCGTCTGTCAAAGTCGTCTTCACTCAACTCTTGACAGATTTTTATTCTATATGGATGGAATTTATTAATTTTCGTAATTTTGTGGACAGAGCCTGAGGAAACTCCAGTTGCAGTAGAAATGCTACGTAACGAAGTATTAGGACTCATACCAAAATAGCCTAATACTTCAATTTGAGTGGCTTCAGTCAGGACTCTTGGCTGATCATGTTTTAAATTTGCAACAGATCCTGTCTGAGTGAATTTGGCGATCAGATTGAGGACATACCGATGAGATGTGTTCTTATCTGGGTGCCTCTCGTTAAATATTGCGGCAGTTCGTCGAGCACATCGATTTTCGGCGCCATAAATTGACACTATTTCGACTTTTTCAGCTACAGTGTAAACCATTTTTACTAAGTACAGTGCCTTATCAAATCACAACTATCACACAACTGAGAATTATAGTGAATAAATCGATGTCTTTTATTTTTTTGCCAAGTACACTTTTTTGCATACCTTTCGAGGCACATTAGAAGTAAATTGAAGCAAAAAACAGTTAAAGTGTTTTTATTTCGATGATACGCGGCAGCGAACAGAATGCTTAAATATCTCGAAAATGGATCGAACAATTTTAAAAAAGAAGTACCGACGTGAAGACATTAAAAAGACCTTCAATGGTATACGCATCAGAAAACTGATTTTCCTAAATATCTCAACAACGGATCGATCAATTTTGAAAAACAAAACACTGACGTGTAGGAATTACAAAGACCTTCAAAATGAGGCATGACTCGATACCCCTCCGCATTTAAGATTTCGCAGTAGGTAGCTCCCCCTTGCAGGGGATGAAAGGGGGCGCGTTTATTTTCTGATGAAAACTTGTCCCCTTCGATATATTTGTTGACGAGTCTCGGGATTTTTTAAAAAAATACACACATTTCGAGAAAATTAGGGTGGGAAGTCCTGAAATGAACACCCTGTATATATGATTGAAATTAATCCTAATCAGGAAATTAGGTTGCAACGTTTTTCCACGTGTTTCAGGTGAAAGCCTCGAAGGGCCTGAAGAAGGCCGACAAGCTGGTGGCGGACTCACAGGAACGAGCTTATTGGCGGGTGCATCGGCCACCCCCAGGAATGGTGGGCTCGCTGGAGCCCTGCCCTGTGCCCACGAGGAGCTGGAACGGCGGTTGTCGCACCAGGAAGAGAACCATCGAGGATTGCAGGAGGGAGGTGAGACAACGAGATGTTTTTCATTTTATAAGTTGAGTTCGGTATTGACATCATTGAAAAAGAAGATGAATATAACAAAGATGAAAGGGAAAATTAATTACGGGCGATCTGAGGTCGAGAAGTGGTAGGGGGTGGGTTTTCAAGGGTTTATCTTGATTTCCAACAAAACTACGGGCCATATGGAAGAGAGTTGAATAGCAAAGTTGTAGGTAATAGAGAGACCTACAACTTTTGGGATAACTTTTTCATCACATAACCCCAAAATTTTTGTGAAAAATTCAAATAATCAAGTTTTTGGTTTTTTATTTTCCTTATGAACAATAGTTATTTGTTTAACTAGGCAGCAAAGTAGTAGATTGACTGCCGAGGCTGAATTCATAGCCGAGCGTAGCGAGGCTAGGAATCCAGCTAAGGCAGTCAATCTACTTTGCTGTCGAGTTGAACATATAATTTTTTCTCCGATTGTTCATAATGATATAGGAGGATATTGTAATTGAAAGTTATTACAATTCCCACAATCTCTTCATTTTTCCTGTAGTGTTCAATTTAAATGAAATTTGATAGAAATTGCAGTTGTATGATAATTATAGTTTGACAATTCATGGAAATTCTGACAGTTGTGCAAAAAAATATCGGTATATTTAAATTATCATATAATGGACAGTGATAGCGACCTGGAAGTACTTACACCACCAGAAATAAGGGAGGTGATGGCAAAAAATATAGAGTTGAATTTGTTGCCGGAGAAGTCTCGAATGAAATATGAAGGAAATTATAAACGATTTATGGATTATTAATTTTGCTGATACATATCAATCAGCAAAGTACCCACTTTGCTGCCTAGGCAGGAAAAGTAATACTTTGCTGATTGATATGTGTCAGCAAAATTAATATTTGCTGCCATTCGGAGAAAAAAAATTTTTCTCGCGAAATTTGAGAAAAACTTACCTTTTTATATGTTGAAGACACTGTAACTTTTTTGGTTTGAAATATTCCATTTTCATCTTATTTTGTCTCAATATCGAAAAGATACCCTAATTTTCAATCGAAAATTCTCACGTCATAATATCAGCTCTTTGAAAAATCTCTTCTTTCTGATAATGTGGAAAAATTACAAAAGATGACAACCGTCTACCAACACCGAAGGCTCTCTGAATCCGACGATATCCGATCTCCTTCGGATCATCCTCGGATCATTCGCAGCTGCCTTTCGCGCGCGTTTCATTTTCACCCAGCTACTTCTTATTATTTGTGCTAATGTACAGGGTGGCCGACTAAGAATCCAGAGTTCGATACGTTGTCTTGTTGATACAAAAAAAAGTTTCGCATTCAAATTAAAGTGATAACCGAGCTTCACATTTCAAAATTTCTTTGAAATACACAGGGTGTTCCGTAAGGTCACAGCACATCAAAGCTATGTTTTTTTAATTGGAACACCCTATATTTTATTTCATTTTTGAAGTCTCCCTGAAGATCTGATTTCAACGACGTATCATACTTAGGGTCTAGCAGTGAAAGTTACTGAGATATAGGGTGTGCAAAATCGAGATTTTCCAAGTTCAGTATTTTTTTCTGTCGAAACTGTTCATTATTCGTCAAAACGGTTCACATGTCCCTATCTCAACTTTTCACTCACTATCAATTGGTTTTCAACTGACATTTAATTGAAACAAATTATGAATTAAGATTTTTTGACCACCTTGTATCAATTTCAATTGAACACCAATTGATAGTGAGTGGGAAGTTAAGATAGGGATATGTAAACCGTTTTGACGAATAATGAACAGTTTCGACAGAAAAAAATTCTGAACTTGGAAAATCTCGATTTTGCACACCCTATATGTCAGTAACTCTCACTGCTAGACCCTAAGTATGATGGGTCGTTGAAATCACATCTTCAGGGAGAATTCAAAAATGAAATAAAATATAGGGTGTTCCGATGGAAAAAACATAGCTTTGATGTGCTGTGACCTTACGGAACACCCTGTGTATTTCAAAGAAGTTTTGAAATGTGAAGCTCAATTATTACTTCAATTTTGATACATGACTTTTTTTCGTATCTCTCAAGACAACAGAGAAATCGAACTCTGCAGTCTTAGTTGGCCACCCTGTACAGTGAGGATAATAATTGTCTTGTACTTGTATGTATGAATCTCAGACGAATAATTCGTCTGAGGTATGAAATTGATTTTGGCATTGTATTTTTTCGAGTTGTTTGCTTGTTTATCAGAAATCCAGAATGACTTGGTGTCCTATTTGAAATCAATCGTTCAACAACGTCAGTAGCTAGAACTATCATCATATTTTATCAATTATACCCTGCTTATGTCAAGTTATTGATGGGTCACCTTGTATGCATTACTTATTGTTATAGCTATTATATCTATTCTGAGACGAAAAATATGTCAGAATATTGGGGCCCGTACAGGCCCAAGTATCCACAATCTGCAACTTTTCAAAATGTGCGAATTACTTTCAAGCCTAAAGAATGAAAAGGTTTTTTCAGGTATTTCGCTTGGTGGCTAATCATTTTCGATATGAAAAGCTATTGCCCTGATGCTCATGTAGGCGTTTATAGATGTGCAGACATTTCAACATTAAGTATAGGTACCTCTATATTCAACCTTTTCATTATCTCCTATAGATTAGAGAAATTTAATAATCAACGAGAGCTTTGATTGTGATTCTGGCCAGCAGAAGATTCTGGAAGTATCAACAATTGGTAAAGAAAAAAGAGAAACCAATGAATTGAATTCCGAAAAAGAAAAATTCAAACTAGAGCTTATTAAACTCGTTGATAGTATAGAGTCACATTTATAGCGATGACGAGGGAGAAAAGCAATATGGCATTTTCCGACAAGTTACCTTCTAAAACGCATCAAAAAAAATTACTCAACTGAGACGTTTATACCGAACAACCAAAAAAGCTGTTCCTAATAAACGACTTAGTAATAAATTAATCCATCCAAATGATATGGACGCCGATAATATCGCAATAAATCTAATGTATCCACCAAAAACAATGAATTAATAAGTGAATAAGTTGTGTTTATTTTGCATGTCAATTTTGTACTGATATGAAAAAAAAACATGTAAGGGCCTTTGCAATGTTTAGGTCTCGCAATAATTTTTTTCTCAAGGTGAATTCTGAAAGAAAAAAAATACTTGCATCATTTTTCCAAAACATTATATACACTCGATCACTTGATACCCATGGATTATTATTATGTTTTTAAATTTGGCGCGTGCTCTGCATCAGCGGCGACGTCCGACCATGATCGGACATCGTCGGATTCAGTGAGCCTCCGGTGTTTGTAGACGCTTGTCAAAAACTTGCGTCTAGCCCCTTGTCAAAAGATGTGGGTCTCTTTATTACCTACAACTTTGTCATTTAATATTTCTCCATAGGACTTCTGGTTTTGCCGGAAATCGAGATACACCGTTTTTTTCCTCTAAATACATCCCCTTTCACAGATCGCCCGTGAATTGTTTTTCCTTTAATTTTTGTTACATTCTCGTCCTTTCTCAACGGGTTTCATCCTACTATTTTTTTTTCTGTTTCAAAAATTATCGACCCTGGTCTATTCGGGTCAACCATACGAACTTGCAGTGAGCATATCTCGCTTACGTTACATACGTAAGAATTGCTGATTCTCAGGTTAACTTCGTAATAACTTTGAGAATTCGTTGTGGAAATGAAATCGATAACTGAAAGTTGAAGTTTGAAAGATTTCTACATGGGACTTCAAGAAGAAATTCGCCCAGTTACAGCACATAGCTATCTTCATTACCTTACGATAGGAATTCGCATATTATCCTGATGTTGATCTCTCTGAGATCTCGCGGAGAGGTTTGTGTTACCAGCGGAACTAATTATGTTCGCGAGTCATGGAGTTGATTCGATTCCTATGGAATACCTACTAGTTATTAAAACTTGATCACCTTGTATGTTCCGATAACATTCTAGTTTCATCATCAGGGATGGTACAATCATCTGATGATATAGTGTTTATCATATGATAACATACCAGCATTAATTATTATTAGTGAGAGTCATGTATTTCGAGAGAATTCTCAGGGAACCTGATCTCATTCAAGTTTATGCTTGAGTGGAAACTAATAGCTAATCGCTAGACTGTGTAGATGAAGGTAAACAAATCGAATCGATATGGGAGAAATGTAGGTCATAATTTTTAGTATAGGCAGAGATTATTGGGGTAGAGACAGATGGATCAATTCAGGGGATCTCAATATCACATCCCATTTCTTTGTCTCGGAAATTATACCTATATCAGACACATAAACAAACATCGAATGAGGATTTTTTTGTTTCATAGTGCTCACCTATATATACATGTAAGGAAACACGAGTTTTCCTTCAAAAACTAATTTATTGTAGGAGAATCGTAAAGTGAACAACAGCTCTAACGATCAGTATCAAGTCCCCAGAGCAAGTGTGTCTTCCCTTTCTTTCCCATTTCACACGAAAATCTCATAAAGTCATGAATCTCAATTATCTAAACATTATATAATAATATCGAACATGGTAACATAGAACCACTCAGCCACACGTGTGCTGAGTGATACAAATAGGGTTCTTCTTGTCCAACAATTCCAATATAACCGATGTCTTGATATTTCGAGCTGACAATATTCGACAAACTACAGGGTGTTCGCTCACATACATATATACAGAGTAGGTAATACCTATACTTACCTACTTGGTAGGGATTTCATAAATATAGGGGCATCAACTTCGTTTATCAAAATGGAACACCATGTATTATATGAGTTCTTCTTGGATTCCTGAGTGATAATATAACGATCCCACACAGTATGTTCCGCTTTTATTGAAGGGTACACCCTACACAACACCCCCCACTTCTCAAGGGCCATAATTGATTTTTTAGAAAATCAAATAATATGACGATGCTCTAGATACGAATATTTGGGAATTTCTAGAAGTGTTTTTTTTATAAAGATATCTTTTGTTTCTTGAA